AGAGAGAGAGAGAGAGAGAGAGAGAGAGAGAGAGAGAGAGAGAGAGACTGACTCTTGGGGACGCTGGCACTTCCTGTATGGATGATTCTATACCTATCTAGTGCTGAATGCTGACAGCATCAGATGTAACCAAACAGAACTGCTGAAAACCCAGTTCACTTTCTGCATTGTCACCAAAATATATCTTTCTATTCTCAATGAAATCAAACTGACCACCTCTGAAGGCTGCGGGAGACGACCAAGAATGTCTGCAACCTATGACAGAATCACGGGAGGTTCCACTGCTCACAAAGGAGAGTGGCCATGGCAAGCGAGTCTCAGAGTGGATGGTAGACACTACTGTGGGGCATCCCTAATCGGCGAAAGATTTCTGCTAACAGCAGCTCACTGCTTTCAAAGGTAAGGTCATCATGTCCTCTAAGATATGGGAAACCCAAGGAGCTGGACAGTTCTTGTCGTAGGCAAATTATCTTCCATCCTCACAAGTGTGGCTTGAGAAGCAAATTACTTAAAAATTACTTGAAAAGCAAATTACTGATAAACCCATCTCAGCCTTTCCTACTTTACCAATTAAAAATAGGAAGAGCCATTAGGTTTTTTTTATTGACTTTTATGCCATTTATTTTTAATAAACGTTTTTTCTTACATAAGTCTTATGTCTCATCACTTTATACTTCAGACTCTAAACCACCTGAAGTTGCTAAGTTACTACATTGCATCTCTTCTCTTCCTCCATCCTGTCACACACCTACCCAACATCTAAGCAAATACTCAGCCTAAAAATGCTGTTTTCTCTAAAAGTAGAGATTTCTTTTTCCTTATGCATGGAGGTTTATATCCCCATTTATTGGTCTCATTAAGTATGTGGGCAGACAGTAAGCATTTATAATTACCTGTGTGTATGCCCAATTTGCATTAAATTTAAGCTTTTTAAAGGCATACACTATATGAGTCCATCTAGTGTACAGTGAAGAGATTCAAACCCAATACCCAACCTAGATATATCAACTACCTTTGACTGCTACAGACAAGCGAATGCTGCCATGTTCCCCTCTCTCTCTTGTCCTCTCCTTTAGCTCCTCCTCTTCCTTCTCGTCTTCCTCTCCTCTCTCCTCACACCTTAGCTCCTCCCAACATGCGGGAAAATATGGTGCTACACCTATATAATTGGTCCAGAAACTTTTCTATTATTTTCTACAGGACAGAGAGTTTCTACACCTAAACTGGCATCCTTTGAATGTTTCAGACCAAAGCAGTTTGCAAGGTCCTGTGCAATATTTTAAAGATGTTTAAAAAAATGAATTTAAAGATCAATTTATATGGGATTGGAGAGATAGATCAACAGTTAAGATTACTTGCAGAGGAACTGGGTTTGGTTCCTAGCATCCATATGGCCACTTCTAGTTGGCCATAACTACAGTTTCAGGGTATACAATACCATCTTCTCACTTCTAGGGGTTCAAGATATGCATGTGGTGCATAGACATACATACATGTGAGCAGAACACATATACATGTAAAATAAGTCAGAACAAAATAAGAAATGAGATATCATCACAATGGGCTATAACACAAGGAAGTATTGACGTTATAAAAGCTTGTGGTAGATGCAGCTATGAACTATAAAATGTAGTATTTCTGTCATCTAAAAATAAGTACAAAAATATGTGGGGTTTTTTTGTTCCCTCAGGACAAATAATCCAAAAAACTTAACTGTTAGCTTTGGCACTAGAGTAACTCCAGCCTACATGCAGCATTCTGTTCAAGAAATTATTATTCATGAAGATTATGTGAAAGGGGAACACCACGATGACGTTGCAGTTATAAAGCTCACTGAAAAAGTTTCATTCAGGAACGATGTACATCGGGTTTGTCTTCCGGAAGCCACGCAGAGTTTTCCACCAGGTGAAGGAGTCGTTGTTACAGGATGGGGATCACTTTCTTACAATGGTGAGTTGAATGGCTGAGCACAACCTAAAAGAATCAAGGACAATATGAATCTGCAGTACCATTTTATCTCTGGGTGTCCAATCCCTTCAGGCCATCTCTCAGGGAATATTGCACAGGACCTTGCAAACTGCTTTGGTCTGAAACATTCAAAGGATGCCAGTTTAGGTGTAGAAACTCTCTCTCCTGTAGAAAATAATAGAAAAGTTTCTGGACCAATTATATAGGTGTAGCACCATATTTTCCCGCATGTTGGGAGGAGCTAAGGTGTGAGGAGAGAGGAGAGGAAGACGAGAAGGAAGAGGAGGGGCTAAAGGGGAGGACAAGAGAGGGGAACATGGCAGCATTCGCTTCTCCGTAGCAGTCAAAGGTAGTTGATATATCTAGGTTGGGTATTGGGTTACACCTCCAATTGTGTGGGCATCTTGTTATTGAGCATTACCAAATATATAAAGCCTATGGATAATCTAAGCATTAGAGTCTCATTTCTACCAGGCCTGTGTGGATCGCGGGATGGTCTGGGCTCAGCCTAGCCTTGTGGAGACAGCGTGGAAGATTGGCAGAGCCATTTCCCATGCTGGTGTCTTGTGGGTGGCAGGGCCAGTATCTCTGGCTACCTGAGCCGGTGGCCTGAGCCATGTGGCAGCGATAATTGGCCACCATTCACTGCTGCTGCTTGTGGCCACAGGCCCTGTCTAGTCAGGAAGATGGCGGCTGATTAAGAAGAAGTCATATTGAGTGCCACCGTTTTAAATTATTACATCAAGATATAGAAAGGAAAAAAAAACTGGCAATACTTGAAAGGTATTTCTAATTAATATTTTGAACATTGTTTTCATTAGTTTGGGGTAGAGAGAAGTGTATGTGTTTATCCTAAAAAGGAGGCAAGAGTTAATAAAGGTTCAAATGCATAGAAGCCTAAAGTCAGTATCCATTCTGAACAGGTTTTGCTGTTTTGCTGACATGTTGTTTTCCTTTAGGTAAATCTCCACTGTTACTTCAGAAAGCATCCGTTAAAATTATTGACACAAATACTTGCAATTCTGAAGAAGCTTATGGAGGCAGGATATTGGACACAATGCTCTGCGCTGGCTACTTGGAAGGCAATATCGATGCTTGCCAGGTAGGTCTGGAAACCATTCATAAGGACCACAGAGTGTATAGAAAAACCTGCTATCCTTTTGTTAAGTTTACAATTGAGGAGCCCATTCTGCTCTTCATTTAGGTGTGCTTTGACATTCCTGTCAGCCACCGTTTAAAGTGATTATTGCCGATAGGTAAGTGTTTAATAAACACTGATGATATATTTTCTCTGAGTTGAGTTCTGTCTTTGGTCATTCATAAATATTAATTGTGGAGAGCTTTTGGGGATGCTTGGCAAAAATCTGACATTGGGCCATGACAAGGAAGTAAGTTCAGGCAGGAATCTAATTTTAAGCTAAAGCAGAGAAATAATTTCAGTCAGGAATCCAAGACTTAGGCTAGAACAAAGAAGTAGGCCTCAGGCTTGAGTATGACTGTGGGCTAGGACAGGGAAGTAGGCTCAGATATTTTTGTCATCCAGATGAGCCCTTAGAAACAGCAAGAGTGATCACGGGACTTTGTATATTGCCTTGTTTGTTCCTTGACTGTTTGTATCTATTGTATTGTTGGTTCCTCAACCTAGAACTGACCTAAATACTTGCATGTAATTAAAAGGGTTTAAAAGAAAAGTGAGAATAAACAAACCTGCCTCAGCCTTCAGCCTTAGAACTGACTGGGGTCATGGTGCAATTTGTCTAATTATCTCTTTTCTTTTAAACCTCATTCCTGCGCTGGAGAACCTGTTGACTGACTGATCGGGCTTGGTCAACTAATTCATTTAATTCTCATGAGAACTGTATGATTTAAGTACTATTATTCTCATTTCATAAATAAGAAAATGGAGGCAGAGGAACATCATGTACTATATTACAACAGAGTTAGTATGTGGTAGAAAGGTGCACAATTCTGTGTTGTCCTGAGTTACAATATAACCTCTTAACTGTAGATCAGGAAAAGTTGAGTCTAGGAGATATTTGGGCCATTCCCAAATTACTCTTATTTTCTTATCCTTCTCATGCCTAAAGTTCTGGCTATTTTTTCTCATATACAAATGTCTGAATTTTAAGCACTCATTCCCTAAAATCTTTCTCAAGAACTAGCCTGTAACTTCTTACATCATACTTTCAAATTCTCATACTCACAAAAGAGAAGCAGGTAATACATTTGGCCAGTATTAATGGTGGTTAGGGATGTATAAGGAATTAAACCACACACCTCTCCGTGAACTCTACTGAGCACAATAATTAGCAACATCATCTGGAACATCGTTGCCTGTAGCTAAACTGTCTAAGAGGAACCTGTCAAAACGATGCATGTTCTATGTTTTATTTAGGGTGACTCTGGAGGACCGCTAGTTCATCCCAATTCAAGAGATATTTGGTACCTTGCTGGGATAGTGAGCTGGGGACACGAATGTGGCAGAGTCAACAAGCCAGGGGTCTATATGAGAGTAACTTCCTACCGTGACTGGATTGCCTCCAAGACTGGTATCTAGTAGAAAACCATCTTCTAACAACTAATTCAGAGCATATTGCCTGATAGTCTATCACTGGACATCCATTTCTTTATTTTTTTTCCATTGTATATGTGTGTGTCTCTGTGTGCTTTTGCATATGTGTGGGTAAACGTGTGTTTGTGCTCGTATATGTAAGTGTGCATGTAAACAGATGTGTAAGTTAATGTTAAGAATCATCCTCAATAATTTCAACGAGACAGGCTCTTGATTAAACCAAGAGCTCTCAGATGTATACTGTCTTACTAGTCAGGTTGCTGTTAGGACCACCTATTTCTGTCTTCTAAGGATGGGAGTACAGCCAGGCTTCTATACTCACCAGGTGTTTATGAACATCCTGGAAATCTCCCATTTCTAGCCCTCAGGCTTTCACCCTTAACCACTGAGCAATCACAGCTGGTTTAAACATTATTATTTTGGATGTATGAGTGTTTCCCCCTGCACCACATATATGCCTAGAGGTCAGAAGTGGGTACTGTATCCTCTGGGACTAGAGTTACAGACAGTATGAGCCACCCTATGGGTGCTGGGAATTGAACACTGGTCTATTAGAAGAACAGCCAGGCCTCTTAACCATGGAGCCATCCCCACTCAGTACTTCACATGCTTTTTAAATGTGTATAATGGTTATTTTGAAAGAATTATAGCCCTAAGGGAATATATGTAAACTTTAAAGCAAATTAAACAAGACAAAATTAGAGACCTTGAATTTCTTGGTTCAGGAAGTCCTTAGCCAAGAAAGTACTCCCACCAAAATACCTGTGAAATACTATTTGTGTCCTGGTTTATCAGCCTATATTATTGCTATTTCAGTACATAAGGTTCTTAGGTTTTGTGATATAGACTTTGTCGAACTGTGGAAGCATGGGACCGACTGTGGTGATTTATCAGAATGTATGAGGGGAGAGTAGTGCCTCCCAAAGGCTGGGTTTGGAACATGCTGGATCTACTTTCCTGTCAGAGCTTTGTGGAAGGCTGTGATTGTGACCCTGACCTACTCTGCAAACAGGTATTGAATTACAACCTCTTGTTACTGAGGCATTCACCAGGGTCTGCAATCATTCTGTGTTTCTCACCACCAACAAAACCAGACACATTTTTAAATTATAGAGAATAAGTACAGTAACTCTTCAGCATAGGTACAGATTTTTGTGGAAATTATGTGTAATATATTTTTAAAAAGATTATCTGAGCCGGGTGGTGGTGGCGCAAGCCTTTAATGCCAGCACTTGGGAGGCAGAGACAGGCGGATTTCTGAGTTCGAGGCCAGCCTGGTCTATAGAGTGAGTTCCAGGACAGCCAGAACTACACAGAGAAACCCTGTCTCAAAAAACCAAAAAAAAAAGGTTATCTGAAATCAATGAAACGTATGGCATATCCTAATTAAAGCAAAGGAAGGTCTTTATCCTCAGTAACAGTTTGATTCATTACATGTTTACTTAATAGATGCACTATTAAGTAGGCTAGCTTTTCTTTCCTCTTGTGGGGGATGAAGTCAGTGTTTCTCTTCTCACTTGAAGGTGAGCATACTAGCCTATATTGGAGTTCTACCACCTGCAGAGCTTCCTAATGTGGTCTCTCATTTTCCTGATGAGTTTCCCCTCCCCTAATTGAGCTAAGAAGGGACTCTTCAAGAAGCTGCAGAGGTGGGAGTCAGAGCCTTAGAACATACAGATACCAAATCCAGTTTCAGGCTCATCCCCAGAGCCTCTGATCCTTGGAAGGCTACTGGTCTCCTTGGGATCAAGCTGATCAAGCTGGTTATACGTTCTCAATACATCCCAGGCTTTCTGGCATTTTTTCCCAATTCAGGAGAGTCCTGTGATTTCCTGTGCCCATCGTCCTGGTGGAAATAAGAAACTAGACAAAATGTGTAAGAAAGGCCTGGGGGTGATGGTGATGGAATAATGTGTACAAACAGTATTCAGCAACAAAGAGACAGCCACATACAATAGCATTTGTGGGTTTCAAAAGAGAGATGAGGTGGGGACTGCGGTGTTTGTAGAAGCAGCAGCGGGGTCAGGGAGGGAGTTGCCAGCATTAGAGATTGAAAGGAAGATAGGTAGGCATGCTGTGTCTGTAGGAAGATGCTTTATGATGGAAAATATTAACACCTGGCCATCTGGTGCCACAGTTTCTAGAAATGAGCCCAGCACATTTTGTATGAGGCACAAGTCTCTACAGTCACGTGACTTCAATGTAGTAATCACTCTTGAAAAATAAAGTTTTTAATTGGCATTTTGTGAAATCTTCATCTATCAACTTCATAAGTCTTCTTTATAAGATTTTAAAATTTTATTTAAGGCTCAGCAGCTTACACTGACTTTACAAGTGATTTTTTTTTTTTTTACTTAAGAATACTGACTAAGCAAATAGTTTTCCACTATGCTTGTATATTCCTGGTCCTATAGGAGAAAATATTTTACCCATTTTTCTTTTTCCCTAAACATTGGTTTTATAGAACCTGGTACTAACAGTTTTCTATGTTGTCAAATATCTTGAATGTGTATATATCCTGTGTAGCCACACAATGCACTTGTAATAAAGTTTAATAAATTAACGTCTTTGAACTAAGGATTGTTTTGTTTTTTGTTTTTGTTTTGGAGGGATTGTTTTTTGGTGCTGGGATTGTGTTCTTTTATGTCACACATAATTCCAGTTTCTTAAACTGTTCAAAGACCAGTTCTCCTAAAGTAGCTTTGGCATATTAAATTCCAATTAGTTATCTTGATATTTAATCTATTTTATTACAATTATCATCATATGATATTATCATCATAATAGTAAATTAAGCAATAATGTTTAATAACTGTTAAGTTCTTGCTGTGTATCAAGAATTGATTCTAAAGACATTATCCCAATGAATCCTCTGTCTGTTCTACAAAGAAAGCTACTAACCTACCTTTCCAGATAAAGAATCTGAAACACAAAGTGGTTAATAACCTTCCTCCAAAGTACAAAACCATGCCCATCCTGACCCACTCCCACCAGCACAGAAGTCCTGATAAGCAAGTAGCTCTAACAAGAAGTTTGAGCAGTTTCATATTTTTTTGTGTGTTCATTTGTTTTGATATAATTTTATTATGTGTTTGATTACATGGTTTTTTTCTGTAACTATTTTTTAAATTTATTTATGTATTCACTTTACATCTCAATATCAGACTCCCATCTCTTCCTAGAACTCCCTCACTTAGGCCCTCCCCCATTCCCCTTTCCCATCCTCCTCTGAGAAGGAGGATCCACCAGGGTATCATCCTACCTCCTCCCAGGCACATCAAGTCACTTCAGGACTAGGTGCATTCTTTCCTACTGAGGCCAGACAAGGCAGCTCAGTTAAGGGAATGGGATCCACAGGCAACCAACAGATTCAGGCACATCCCTTGCTTCAGTTGTTTGGGGACCTGCATGAAGACCAAGCTACACATTTGCTACATATGTGCACAGGGGTGGGGTGAGGGTACATGTCTAGGTCCAACCCGTGATCATTCTTTGGTTGGTGGACCAGTCTCTGGGAGCGCTCAAGGATATAGGTTAGTTGACTCTGTTGGTCTTCCTGTGGAATCCTGGTCCTCTTTGGTCCATCAGTCCCTCCTCCAACTCTTCTATAAGACTCCCCGAGCTTCATCTAATATTTGAGTGTGGGTCTCTGCATCTGTGTCCATTGGTTGCTGGATGGAGCCTTTCAGAGGACAGCTATGCTAGGTTCCTGTCTGAAATCATAACACAGTATCATTAATAGTGTCAGTGATTGTTTATTGCCCACAGGATGGGTCTCAATTTGGGCCAGTCATTGGGTTGGGCATTCCCTCCATCTCTGCTCCATCTCTGATTTTTTTTTTTTTAAAGAGTAAAAATTCCTTATTGCTTTGGGTAATTCTTAATGGTATCATGAAATCCACACTGTGGGGAGGAGAGGCTCTTGGGCCTGAGGGTGTTTGATGCTTCAGTGAAGGGCAATGTCTGGGCAAGAAGACGGGAGTGGATGGGGGTGGATGTGAAAGGGAGTTTTAGAAGGGGAGACCTAGAAAGAGGTAAACAATTGAAATGTAAATAAATATTTAATTAAAAAAAAGAAATTCACACTGGGAAATGACACTAACACTACTTTCTCCAAACACATTTGTATTTGTAGAAATATTGTATCTTTCCCACCTGAGCCCATACAGAAATGTCCTATGTTTATGGAGGATTGTCTTAAAGTAGCTGGTGTGGGAAGAGACATACCACTGTGAGTAGCACCATCTCCTAGTCAGTGGATCATTAATTATGTGAGAATGAATAGACAGAGCAAGCACAGGCAAGCAAGTTAGCATGTATTCATTCATTTCTCTGTGTTCTTGATTGTGGATATGATGTGAACAGCTGTGTTGTGTTTAAGTTAATGATCAAAGGTAAACATCACGCTGTTCTCAAGTGATACAGTCTCAGAATGTTTTCTTTTATTCAAAACCGTTGAAAATCTCAAGGAGTTTTTTAAAACAATATCTTTTTAAGTTAAAAAAATCTATCTATTAACAAGAAACTGAGTGTTAAAACTGAAAAACATTTAAAAGTTAAGTTAGACAGGACTGAGAAATGTCACAGGGATTATGGGTAGTTGAAGAGCCACAGTTTTCAGGCCTAACCTAGTTGCTTAGAAAAATCCCTGGTACTAATTTCAAGTGTAGAAAGAACAAAATGTATCCACATAGTGAACAGTCAAGAGCTCTGAAGACCAACCAGGATGATAAGTCCCAAAAGTCACAGTGCATTTCTAGAAGGAAGAACAGAAGTCTGAAATAGATTTCACCGTAGTGCAAAGATCAGTGTCTATTATTGGAAAGCTCAGAATTTTGTTAAAGTGAATAAAGAAAGGGAAAGAAATAATATGCTGGAAGGAGAAGAACTCATGGCTATTTAGATATGACGCTTCAAGATGAAATGCCTCTTTATAAAAATGTGAATCAAACTAAAAGGAAAAATAGAAAAATAGTTTATCTTTTTATGGAGTTTATTTTGAATTTATTCTAATGATATTAGTAATGCTTTTTTATTTTCTCCAGCCTGTCATTACTTTTGATAAAGAGAATGGTTACTTTGTAACAAATGATCTTTGTTGTCCAGTGGTATGCTATTTTCTCCAGCCTGTCGTCAGTTTTGATAAAGAGAATGGTTACTTTATAACAAAGGATCTTTGTTGTCCAGTGGTATGCGAATTACTGGCAGGCTTTCAACTAAGCCTTGGAACCCCAGCAGTAGCAGCTATTCCTGAAGATGCTGAACATATTTCATCCACACTAACTGGCTCAAATCTGAAACATGTTCCATTTCTTTTAAACAATCTTGGAAAAACTCTTTGATTCCACAGCAACAAAGAGCTGAAAAGCTGTAATAATGTCTCTTTAAATTTTAATGCAGTTTGTGCATACTCCACAAATATGCAGTGAAATTGGTATTGAGCTTTTATAGACTAGATTATATTTTCTAAGACGAAGTGGTGTTTAAGTAAATGTATTAGTAAATGTATAAGTACATTCTCAAATTTGTTTAATCATTACTCTGGCTTCAGGCTTCTGTATTTCTCTTGTACTGGTAGAACACACCCAGGTCTTATCATTTCCTACAGCAGAGGGCGCCGAAATCCAAGAATCAGGATTCATGTTTTTCCTATGCTGTCAAACTCCTGTTACTCAGCAATTCTGAAAAGAAGAGCAGTTACCAAAGGAGCCTAACACCCAAAATGAAGCCTCTCTGACCTTTATTTCCTTTAATAGCAACAGTGAACCAAAATGTTTTATGCACAGTCCCATCAATTTTAACCAAAGTTTTTCTTTTATTAAGGATATTTCTTCTATCCTTAGCCCCCCTCCCCTACACAATATGTCATGTTCTGTGCTACATGGCACATTACGTAGCAGATCAGAGGAAAAGTCAGTGACG